TGGGTGACGTCTCGGTAAAGTCGAAGTACAACAGGTCATAGAGAATCCGACCTCATCTCGTGAGATCAATACACTTACCTCTTTACAGAGTTTGGAACGAGTCACCGGCATAAAGGCCATATTCACACAATTAACCCACCAGATAATCTAAGAGAAAGACCCATCAGGCATGCCAGATCAGTTGTAGATTGTTGGATACGATGAATGAAGACAGAAAGTGGGATGGAATTTCACAATGACCGATGAGGAATGAGACTGCAAAAACAGTGTGAGGAAGGGAGATGGTCCAGGTGCGTCACAGTATGTGAGCCTATATCAAACAAAAACGTCGATTATGCAAAGTTACGTCGGGATATTAGAAGGGCAAGTCAAATTCTTGAGGGTGAATGAAGTCTTACGAACAAATGACACCACCATCGAAGCCGGTAAAACGGAAAAAAATAGTGTAAGGGGGATAATATTTACAGTTAAAGTAGATTAGATACCATTAATAAGGACGAAGAGCTATCACGCGGACATAAATAGGAAAAATCTACCTTCAAATTGGATCATGCGAATGCATCAGAGAGAAGACGAAGTGGACACGATACAGCCAAAATTTTGTATTGGCTAAAGGGGATCTCAAGGAGGAGGTATGTGAGTGCTTGGCAGTATTCTAGCGAGAGTTTCTCGTGTAGAATCTGATAATGCATCCGGGAAGACGATTTCGAATTCGACAATTATGTCGCCTCTGCGTGTAGGTTCTTTGGAGTATGGTAAGCCTTTTCCCTGTATGCGGTGAGTGGTTCCGGGTCGAACAATTTCATGAAGAGAAAGAGTCACACGAGGACCTTCAACTGTGGGTATCTAAAAAAGAGCAAACGCTTAGGAGTTATCCACAATGAAGCATTACTGGTGATAAAAGTTACAAAGCACCTACCTGAACGGTGCCCCAGCAAAGTGCATCACGAAGACTGGCTTTTGCCTTATATCTGAGATCCGCCCCATCACGTTTGAAATATTTATGTTGCCGATCTTTTATTGTAAAAACAATGTCTGCGGGAGTATTTCCTCCAGGTGTCTCGTCACCCTCGCGAGGAAAGGTGATACGGGTTCCTGCTTTCCAGCCCTTCTTAACCTCAATTTCTAGAGTCTTTTCTTCCATTGTAGTACTCCTTTTGTCAGGATTTAGCCGTCTTCTTGTGATTTTCATCTTTTTAACCGTTCCATACAATATATCCTCTAAGGATACCAGAAGAGTGTGATGTACAGGTGGGTCTTGCCTCCCACTATGTATTGAGAAGCCCTATAAAGCGAATAGTTACAAGGTCTTCACAAGTGTTTACCTCAAAAGGGGTGGAGCTAGGAAAGTCAAACTCCATGCTCTCACCGGCGCCACCCCCACTAGACGATACAAACACGCTTTGTCCACCTCCCATACTGAAGAAGCTATTAAACGGGCTGTCAGTCCCGAAAAACATTCGAAAAGTTTCTCTTGGGTCGCCATGGAAGCGGTAACTGAACCCACCACCCTCACTCGAACCAGCGCCACCTTTTAAGCCTTCTTCACCTAGCTTGTCGTAAATTTCACGTTTCTTAGGATCCCCAAGAACCTGTATGATTTATGACCAAGGTAAATGACCTACGTCATAAGCTTCCGCGACCTCTTTAAATTTTTCTTCTGCCTGGGGCGATTTATTCTTATCGGGATGATATTTAAGAGCCATTTTGCGATATGCCTTTTTGATCTCATCCTCTGAGGCACCCTTCTGTAACCCCAAAACCTTGTAATAATCCTTCCCCATAGAGAGATATATCGAACAGCGTAATCTGGAACGTTCCCAACAAGTACGAATATAACGCGTTGTAGAAAAAAAGTGCGCGAAAATTTTGTATTCTTTACGTTTGCAAACTTAAAATGTTTGTTTATTATCAAACATGTAATTAAAGTCAACGTTTTTGCAATTTTAAAACTTTATATTAATAAAATTAAGCAAAATAAAATTATTTTAATAGTATTTATTTGTATTGTTAAGCTTTTTAATACATTATATAATTGCCGCTAGTATTGCTCCTTCATCAACATCACCACTATGCTCTTAGATCCAGATTCAGTAAATTCCCATTTTAATGCTACTTTAGTTCCTCACTACCCTCACTAAGATGTTTGTTAAGAACAAAAGTGGTGGATCCCTATTTCTTACTATGAAAAGATGTAACTTGTGCTATTTATTAATATAAAATTAGTCGATGGACGA